GACTAGAGCTATAATCTTGCTCCTACCCTTATTTATAGAGTCTAAATTTTCCTCCATTTTCATAAATTTTCCAATAATTTTTAGGAAAATACATTTAATGGCGAATGTTGCACTAAATGGCTACCCTTTTTCAGTGTTGATAAAAATGTAGTAATAAGTACACTGAACACAGCCTTATTTTTTTATTGATGTGGCTACACTGTTCATTTCCTCAGTCTCTTCAGTTCGGGTTTCACACGCAGAGCGCGCGCGTCAAATAATTTATTGGTGATTTTAAATTTAAAGGAAAATTATATTTTTGGCGGAGTCCACCAATCCATGTATTGGCCCGAACGAGTGGCTGTGCTTCAATTGTTGCAGATAGTTTGGATAGCGCCGCCCTAGAAAAAAAAAATTATTCATCATTGTAAATGACAATGTTAACGCCGTCAGCTTTGACATTTCACTAGTTCACCAGCCAGCCGCGCCATTTTAATTATTGGATGTTAGGTTACATTGATGGTATTTTTTATTAAATAAAAAATTAAAAAAAAAACATAAACAAAATAACAATTGAAATAGTACATATTCTAATAAACAACAACAAATTAAAAGATGAGAAACAAGAGAGCTACATATAACGGCCACTTAACGCCGTCAAACATGCACACCACTTACAATGTTGACGCCGTCCTGTGTCACATAACTCACCAGCCAACAGCCTTTTCTGTTCTTTAGGTTAGGATTGAAAGTATTGTTTATTATTAAATAATTAATTCGTTTTATGAATTAAAATGTTAGCAAATTTCGTCAAAACTTTAACACATCGTACACAAATTCGTTATACATATGAATTAACCAGACAACTGTGCTCCCAACAGAGCCCCAACAAAGAGCCAAAGAACTATGCCGACAAAAGTAAACAGGAGGAAGATGAAGCATTGCGAATTGAAGCCTCTCTGTTTGAACAGGCTTCCATAAAATATGAACCGGTAACAGCTGAAGAAGTTCTGCGTAAAAATATTAAACACAAATTAATAAAACGTGAGCAGCAACAACAGCCCAGCAATCAAAATGAATTGCCAAAACAAACAAATCCCAGACCGAAATTTATACAAAAGGCCGTGCAACAACACATGAAAAAGTCACGTCTGGAACGTGAATCGAAATCGAGATTAATAGATGATTTAGAATTGGGTTTGCAATATTTAAAATTGGATCTCAATGATCCACGTTTAACCACGTTGATGATATCGGCTCGCTCCAAAAAACGTCGCGATAGAGATGGACAAATTGTAATTGAGGGCAGACGTTTGATTTTGGAAGCTTTGGCATGTGAATTGAAATTGAATGCGGTGATTTTTAGTCAAAAGGAAGAATTGGCCGATATCAAGGAACAATTAAAAGAGGCCTTAAAGCGTAATCCCCAATGTAAGGTGTACAAAGTACCGCATCATGATTTGAAAACCTGGTCAACGCTGACAACACCACCTGGTGTTATGACCCTCTTTCAAAGACCCTCACTTGAATATATTGTAAATAAATCGGGAGATTGTAGTACTCCAGCGCTACCATTGACCGTGGTATGTGATAATATTCGTGAACCCAATAACCTGGGTAGTATTATTCGCACCTGTGCCGCCTTGCCCTGCTTTCAAATTGTCATAACGAAAGGTTGCTGCGATCCATGGGAATCGAAGGCGTTGCGTGGCGGTTGTGGTGGTCATTTTCGTGTACCCATCCGTGATGATGTTAGTTGGGAAAATGTCCCGCTAATGATACCACCCGAGCTGGCGGATAATTGTCATATATTTATTGCTGAGAACAATAGGGAAAAGCTGATGTCTAATAATTTCGATGTTGTTGATTATTCGGAAGTGCAACAAATTGGAGGGCATAATGTTGTGGTTATTGGTGGCGAGAGTCATGGTGTTAGCCAAGAGGCGTTTAGGTAAGTTGAAGAAGTGTTAGCCCAGAGGCGTTTAGTTAAGTTGAAGAATTAGGGGATTTATGAGGGGGAATTGGTTTTTTCTTAAAGAAAAAATTCCTCCGGAAAAAACGGTTCAGGACCCGAGTCATAAAGGAAAAGAATCCTTAAGTCCTTAGACCACATCCAAAGACATTTCATTCTATACTTTGGATCCGAAGACAAATTGTTTCTAAAGAATTCTATAAAAAATACTTCGGTTCCGTTTTATGAATTAAAATCTGAAGATTTTTTTTTTTCTATAGAAAAAAATACATCGGATCCGAAAAAAAAATTATTCGATAGAAAAAAATACTTCGGATTCGAAAAAAAAATTTTTCTATAGAAAAAATACTTTGGATTCGAAGAAAAAAATACTTCGGATTCGAAGAAAAAAATATTTCGGATCCAAATAAAAAATAGTTTTCTATAAAAATTGCTTCGGTCTTATAGAAAAAAATACTTCGGATCCGAAGTAAATTTTTTTTATAAAGAAATACTTTGGATCCGAAAAAACAAGTTTTCAATAGAAAAAAATACTTCCAATCCGAAGAAAAAAAATTGTTTTTCTATAGAAAAATTTTCCTATAAAAATACCTTGGTTCCGAAGTCATAATATACCGTTTTCCTCATACTAATTTATTTTTCTTTTTTCAGATTCATGTCCACTGTCGGATCTCGCGGAAAATGTATTAACATACCCCTGGCCGAGGGTTTTGACAGTTTAAATGTGGCATCAGCCCTAACGCTTATACTCTATGAGCTGCGTAAAAATATTCTCCAAGCTGAAAAATTGAAATCCCCCAACTCCGAGTCCTCCTACTCCACCACCACATCAACCCCAACAACAGAACCCTAAATGTTAAAATCAGACTCCATGGATTTTTGTTGAGACTTTAATTCTTTATTATGCATTTTTGTTAAATGTGTTGCGAATTTTATTTTGAAATGCTTAAAGAAATGAAAACTAAAAATGAAATGAGAGCAAAAGAAATTTAAAAAAAAAAATATGCAGGGCAAAAAATAATAAAGAATTATGGTAAACAAAAAATAATAATAACCCCGTTGTTTTTTCAACGTTAAACTATTAAATTATTATAAACATATTGATTTATTTTTTGTTAAACTTTTTTTTTTTTTAATGTTAAATAATATAATTATTATAATAATAATAAAAATATATATATATGTACATATTACATAGGAAAAGAGATGATGGTGTTGGGATATTTTTTTTTTCAAAATGAAATCGAAATTGAGATGGGAATAGAGAAGGGGGAAAAGGAAAACCAGCAGCATTGTAATAGCATTATTAATATTTAATAACAAAAACAAAAAATAGTGAACTTTAAAGTAAAAAAAAAAAATTAAAATGTAGAAAAGGCAAATGATAGGTTAAAGATAGGTTATGAGAGATGACGAACATGCAAATTGTAGTAACTTTTACAAATCTTTTTGCTAAATGTAAAATTATTGGAAGTAGTTTTTTTTTGTTATTTGCCTCTATGATTTTTTTTAAATGGGGGAGGGAGCTGACCAGAATGTTTATACTACCAAGAAAATACAGCTCAAATCTGAGGTCAATTTTTTTATAAAAAAAAAATACTCTACAAAAACGACAAATTTTTTCTATAGAAAAAATTTTCAGAATATTTTTTTTTCTATAGAAAAAACTGTCAGGATAATTTTTTCCTATAGAAAAAATTTCAGAATATTTTTTCTGATTTTTATTCAAAATAATTTTTTTTCTACAGAGAAAGTGCTTACTATAGAAAACGAATTTTTTCTATAGAAAACATTTTCAGTATAATTTTTTTCTATGGAAAAAATTTTCAGTATAATTTTTTTCTATGGAAAAAATTTTCAGTATAATTTTTTTCTATAGAAAAAAATTCGTCAGAATAATTTTTTTCTATAAAAAATTTGAAGGATAATTTTTTTCTATAAAAAATTTGAAGGACAATTTTTTTATAAAAAAATCGTTAGAACATTTTTTTCTATATAGAAAAAAATAGTCAGGACAATTTTTTTTATATAGAAAAAATTCGTCAGGACAAATTTTTCCTGCAGAAAAACTCGTCAGGACAAATTTTTCCTACTGAAAAACTCGTCAGGACAAATTTTTCCTATAGAAAAACTCGTCAGGACAAATTTTTCCTATAGAAAAATTCGTCAGGACAAATTTTTCCTAAAGAAAAAAATTATTGGGACAAACTTTTGTTATAAAAAAAATCGCCAGGACAAATTTTTCCTATAGAACAATTCGTCAGGACAAATTTTTCCTAAAGAAAAAATTATTGGGACAAACTTTTGTTATAAAAAAAATCGCGAGGACAAATTTTTCTATAGAAAAAATCGCTGGACAAATTTTTCCTATAGAAAAATTCGTCAGACCAAATTTTTTTTATAGAAAAAAATTGTCAAGACAAATTGTTTCTATAAAAAAAAATCGTCAAAACAATTTTTTTCTATATAGAAAAAATAGTCAGGACAATTTTTTTTTTTTTATATAGAAAAAAATCGTCAGGACAATTTTTTCCTATAGAAAAATTCGTCAGGACAAATTTTTCCTATAGAAAACTTCGTCAGGACCAATTTTTTTTATAGAAAAAAATCGTCAAGACAAAATTTTTTTATAGAAAAAATCGTCAGGACAATTTTTTTTCTATGGCAAGGATATTTTTCTATAGAAAAAATATTCCTGAGCTGAGGAAAATTTTAGGAAAACAAATGAAAATTATTTGCCTCATTTATAATGGGCATGGTTTGTTTGGTTTTTTCATGCAATATTATTTTCAAATAGGATGCCATGGTTCTTCGTTTTTTTCAGATTTTTTGTTTAAATCCCTTATTTTTTTGTAGCCTACAACTCTAACTAAACTTAAATTAGGGCTTTTGCTGTTCTTCTTCTTTTCATCATCATCGATGCGATCGTTATGATCATTAACATTGTCATCATCATCACCATAGTTGTTGTTGTTTTTTGATCCAGTATGCATTTATGAGGTTGTTTCTGTTGTTGTTGTTGCATTTCTTCCAATTTTCTTAAACTCGGCTAAAAATTGAAACCCCCTTGGGGTGCACCCAAATCTGTATTAAACGCATACTGATTACCATCGACCGAGGGTAAGACATGTTCCACGACTTCTTCATTGCAGAAATATTGTTCGATAATATTAAAGGATTTGTGATAGATGTCACGATTCTCGTGCGATTGTAAATATTCTATTTTGTCTAAGCCTAAAAAGGGATGAGAAAGAACGATTTAATTTTATTTTTATAAATTTAAAATAAAAATTTCTTTTTCACATACCTCCACATTCCTCAATGGCCATGGCATAGGGATTTGGTCTCTCGGGGAATTTCTCACCGGCTTTAAGTATATTTTCCAAAGCATTTAATGCCACCTGAACAATATCGGAATCGACCACAGTTAGGAAATCACACATTGGTATAATGCAGCCGAGATGGACCTGGGGGGAGGGTAAAAGAAAAGGAAATTTATTTTATGATGACGGAATAAAAATTAAATATTTCGGGTCTGAAGCTCCTGAGGATTTTTTCTGTAGAAAAAAATTCTTTAAGGCCTGAAAGTTTTTTTATAGAAATTTTTTTTCTATAGGGTCCTGTAGAATTTGTTCTATACGAAAAAAAAAATTCTCAGGTCCAGAGATTATTTTTTTCTATAGGGTCCTGGATCCTGTAGAATTTTTTCTATATGAAAAAATTATCACAGGTCCAGAGGGTATTTTATTTTTCCTCAGGTCAGAATTTTTGTCCAGAATATCCTGTCTTCAGAACCTGAGGATTTCTATAATCATTATGCGGATTACGTCGACGATTTATTGTTCGGTCTCACCACAGACCTTTTTTCATCATGAACAAGCGTTCGATGATGTTCATTGCATACAGTGCATTTTCTTTAACTATACGGACTCGGTCTCAGAGGATTTCTATAATCATTATGCGGATGTCGCCGACGATTTATTGTGCGGTCTCACCATAGACTTCTTTTCATCATGAAAAAGAGATCGACGATCTTCATTGCATACAGCACATTTTGATTTGCCTTTGACGGGAATCCTTAGCTTGATGGGGGCGGAATAAATATTATATTATTATATCACATTTGCTTACCAAATATCGTATCTGTTCGGCAGTACCACTACTGGTGGCATTTGTTATAGCCCAGGCAGCTTCTTTTCGTGTTTTGAAATCGGACGATTGCAGCATTATATTAATTAGATAGGGGAATATATTTGCATCGATTACAGCCTGTATCTGTTGACGATTACCAGCGGCAATATTTGAGATCGTCCAGCAAGCTTCTTTCTTTATTGTGTCCATGGGTGAGGTTAACAATTGGCCAATGCAGGGCAATGCATTACAATTTAAAATGACTTGGGTTTGGACATCATCACCGGTGACGATGTTGCCAACGGCACGCAGGGCGGCTGTGACAACATTATTTTGGGGGTGCCTGCGACAATAAGAATTAGAATTAATAAATTAAATCAAAATATCCAAGGAAGCATAGCTTACATTAGCAGTTCAACCAAACGCCGACACACTCCAGCATCTATAACAGCTTGAATTTTATCATTTGGTCCATCCGACAGATAGCTAATGGCCCAACATGTATCACTTAACACATCCGTATCGGTATGATTGAGCAAACGTGCCAATATGGGTAGACCGTGTACGATTTTTGAAAAATCAGCTGGAGGATTTTTGCCACGACACAAATTCGATAGAGTCCAGACGGCATTACGTATCATGGTTAAACGTTCGGTGGTGCTGAGGACACTATTTTTTGAAAGGAAGAAAGAAAGAATGCAATTAATAAATTGGATTATAAAATATGAGAATGTGTGACTTACTGCAATAGCGGCTGCATAATACCCGAATTCAATAAATGATCCCGACATGCCGGAGAATCACCGGCAATATTACCCAAAGCCCATACAGCCTGTTCCTGTACATCATCGTGGGGACTTGATAGCAATTCAATGAAGATGGGTACACCACCCGCTTCAATGACAATTTTTGTTTGTTGTGATGTTCCGGAAGCAATGTTTGTTAGTGTCCAAGCTGCTTCGAACTGTAAGAAGAGAGAGGGAGAAATTAAAAAATATTAAATGAAAAAAAAAATATATATAGAAAAAAAATTGCCCTCAGATGATGAGCATTTTGTTTCGAGAGGAAAAAATAGCTGAGGATTTTTTTTGCGATAGGTAAAAATTGCCCTCACCGAATCCGGATTTTTCGATAAAAAAATTGCTCTCATCTCCTGAGATTTTTTTTTTTTGATAGGAAAAAATTGCCCTCATCGATAGAAAAAATACCGTCAGCGAATGCGGATTTTTTCCGATAGAAAAAAATTGCCCTCAACTGCTGAGGATTTTTTTCGATAAAAACAAAATATTGAGGATTTTTTTTCGATAGAAAAAATTGCCCAAAGCAGCTGATTTTTTTTTTGATCGGAAAAAACTGAGAATTGTTTTCAATAGAAAAAATATTTTCTACAGCAAAAAATCGTTTCAGATCCTGAAATTTTTTTTACAGGGAAACATTTTTCTCAGTTCCTGAGAATTTTTTTACAGGAAAAAAATCTCTGTTCCTGAGAAGTTTTCTAAGGTTTTGAGATTTTTGTCTATAGAAAAAATTTACTCAGACATTTTTTTCAATAGAAAAAATTTCCTCAGAGATTTTTTCAATAGAAAAAATTCTGTATTTTTTTTTGTAAATTATAATATGAAGAAAAAAACTATCATCTCACCTGCAATGAAGCATTGTTATTGTTCTTTAGAAATTGTACAAATCTCGGTACAATACCCTTTTGTATAACTTCTTCTATGGGAGGATTTGGATCTCTTGATAAGAGTTTACGGAATTTTTGTGTTGCCTCCAATTGAACACTTTCAATATCACTATATAAAGCATCGATCATTTCTTTTTTAATGATGGTGGTGGTCCCCGCCGTTGTATGTCCTTGCTGCTGCTGCTGTTGTTGTTGGGGCATTGGTATGACATAGTCTTGTTGTTGTTGTGTTGTCTGCTGCTGCTGTTGGTGATTAAGCACCGTCTGAGGTATTTGTTGGAACTGTTGTTGTTGATCATTATGATTTTTGGTTGATAAATCTAAACCGGCTTCAATTTTTTGCATATCATTTGGAAGCATTTCAGATTCCTGAAATTTGACAATTTTTTTAATAGAATTTTTAAATAATTAAACAGAAAAAAAACCTCACCTGCATGGCATCATTATCCATACTACTACTGGGAGGATTATCCAGGACCACATTTCGCCGTTTGGTTAGCTGTTGTTCCCGTTTTTGTTTGCGTAGCTGTATGCCTTCTTCTTCGCGTCTTCTACGCATTTCCGATGAATCCATGCCAGCATTTTTATAACGATGTCGGTGACTGGTGGCTGACATATTGGCTGGAAAAAAATAATATAAACTAAAATTAATAAAAAAAAACTTTAAAAAAATGATTTTATAAAGAAGAAAAAAATACTCATCCACTATCCCTTAAAAAACCAGGGGCGTGGTTATTTCCCAAATTTGTTATGGGTTTTTTTCACATCTCTTTACCAAAGGTATGGTAATATACACAAATAAACAACTTTTTATATAAACATTTAAAAAGAAAATAAACTTTTACTTTTCTTAAATCAATGTAAAGATGTTGTCTACTATTTCCCCTTTGATAGATGACAGCACCGCACTACACACACAGTTTATTATTTATCATCATCATCACCACTAGCTCACAAACATCATCATTATTACGATCATAATCATTCTTGTCATTATCGCCATTGCCAATATATCCAACCAACCACATGAATTAACAAAAACAACAACAATAAAAAGTGCATATTCTATCCCTGCCTTTTTCTTTTTTTCCTTATAGCACCAACCAACTTTCGTACGTACAACCACTACACTGACACACACACTCTCATGCATATGCCTGCCTGCATGCATATGGGGAGAGAGAGAGCGAGAGATGGATGAAAAGAAAAAAGTATTTCTTCACACTTTTACTTATAAAACACACGTTTTTCCAACAACAAATCTATGCAGGTTTTCCCGATATTCCATTATAATTTTTTGTAATTTCTTTAATTGCGAATTAATTAAATTGTTTTATAATTATTAGTATTAAATTTACCTATTTTCTTAATGGATTTTGTGCTGAATTTGTTAATATAATTTTTTTTGTGTTAAACTGAGGATAGAGTTGTGTCGTACGAGTTCAATGCAAGGACTCTGTGAAATGAACGTAGGGGAACTATTTCCCATTGACTGACAGTTGTTTATCTAGTGCACCTAGTTCATTGCATTCGGTGAAATGAATACATTTTATGTTGGTTTGTGAAGTTGACATTTCTGTTAAGCGCCCTATTCACTGAAAATAATACAATTGATTAAAAAAACAAATTCTAATGCGTTTATGACAATTAAAATCCACTTCTTTACTTGACGTTACGTTATGGAATTGCCAATTTTAAACATAGTGGATTTTATTGGCTGCGTAAGTGTAACTGAAAGTTTAGGGTACATTTGCACCGAACAAGTTTTATTTCACATTAATACAAGAGAAATTAAAAAACAAAACATGTATACAGTGGAATTGACATTTGAAACCCACTGGGTTAACGAAATCCGGTACAATGTAAACGGCATATAAAATACCATACAAAAGCAGGGTACTTGTATAGACATATAGTACTTTTACATTGTATTGGAATTAGTAAGAACATTGGAGATAAATATTTCAGAGGAGGTAGATGTTGCTCAATGACAGCCGTTATTCGCTCTTCCAGAGGACGATGATTCCTTGCCAGACTTGCTCTCCTTCCTGTTCCGACCAACGGTGGGGCTACTCAAAGCCTTAGCTCCAACCACTTCACCTTTGTCAATTGGCGTAGAATCGGGCTTTGAGATAGAGCCCTCCACACGTCGACCACCCTTATGGATGACAATTTGTGTTGCGATGGGCTCAACAGCCTTCTTCATTGCCTTTTTACTAGGGTTAGGCTTCGGGTCAGAAGTCAGATTCGCACATTTGTCAGAGACAGTGGGCTTCGCCGACTCTGGTACTTTGCTCGTTTCCGAGGTCTCCATGGAGATTTTTGGCCGAGTCGTCTGTTTCGGCAGGGAGATCCTGTTCAGCTGGAGCTCACCATGAAGGGCGTGCGAATAAGTTCTTTCGAACTTGTTTACGAATTTCATCTTGCCCTTGATGAGATGAACCTCCTTCTCCGAAAGCAAAAGTCTATACTTCCTTGGTTGATGCTACAGCAATCCTTCTGTGTAGATCTGAGGCTAGAATCACCGTAGTGTCCAGTTCATCATCAGTCAGGGAAAGATTTAGTAGCAGTTCCTCCAGTAGTGTATCCACACTTTGTAGCAAGTACAGTTGCAGGAGCCAAGGCATCCACACATAGAACAGCCGGATCACAATCGCTTGATCTCGACAACACGTGGCTTGTGATCTCACCAACAATTGCCTTCGGGGTACAGTAGCCGCCAGCATGGTGGGAATTCCTACGCGAGGTTGGAATTTTTGTACTTCTTTATGACATTTAGGTGCTTGTTTATTCAGCTGAATTCCTTCTCGCTAGGTCCTTATCTACGTATCGCTGACAATAATAAATAGCCCTTCGATACGCCAACTAACCATCGTTTCTTTTGGCTTGACATTTCGTGGTGCAGTAGCCGCCAGCAAGGGTTCCAAAGATGCTTTGTATCACTCGCTTTTAGGAGTGATGGCCTGTCGACTGAAGTGAAGGTTCTACTTCGGAGGAGCCCACACCCACGTCCCCTGTCGATTCGAGGATATGAATCTGATAACACACATATGTCAGCGGGATACTTTCTTGTCTTAGACGGATACTGCCGTATTCCTCAATGAGGCTGCTGTATTTCTCAATGGAAATCAAGTTCGACCCAAAGTCACCCTCTCCCACAGTTGGCGCCCGTTGCGACATGCGTCAACATACGCTCATTGATTAGTGAGAAGAGTCCGTGTCTGAATCTGAGTTCATATTTCGAGTATTTGTGCTGAAGGTGACAAACCATCCACACCAACATCAGTGCAAGAATTTGTTATGGGTTTTGGGGGTTTTAAAATGGTTTGGGCTCCACAGACATCGATTTGTGGAGGACCTGTGGTCAACCATGGCAAGGACTTGGTAACTAAATCTAATGCACATCGATGCGCTCAGGTATCGTTGAGGCTCCCTTCGCATATAGTCGGAACCCGGCTTCGAGTTCGCAAAGGATAAGGGAGTTATCCTTTGGGAAAGGAGACTACTGACCCATAAGTGTAGTTAAATATAGGTGCGCCTGTACACTTCGCCTCGTGCGTCCCGAAGGTCATTGACACTCGGTTATTTCCGCGACTTTTAGTCGAATTTTAAGTCAATGGTAAAAATCGAAAAGTCTAAAAATCTACTATTTTGGCCAATGGTGAAAATCGAAAGGTCGACTTTTGCTAAAAAAAACATTATTGTGTTTTCCACTATCCGCAACCTGTAGACCTGTCCCATAGCATTCAGCTATGTTTCCGATCGCAGGTATAAGGTTGCAACATTGTTTTTTAAGATTATATCCGCGATCGGCAGAAAAACGAAACTCATATATTCTGTTAGCTTTCTGAATGGATACAGAAGAGGCACTTCATGTCAAAAAATGTTCAGCATTTTGACATATCTTTGACATAACAAGCCACTATAAGAAAATTTTAACTTTTGAATTGCTAAAACCTATCTTGTATTATTGTACCATCTACATTATATTTTTTAATTTAATTACTTCTTTATTTACGTCACGATTGAATCCAAATTATAATTTAAATACCAATTTATGCCTAAATAATTACAAGGAATCCACCTTAAATCATAGCTACAATTATTTTAAATATACCATATTACATATTTTAAATCTTTGCTTTTTTATTTTTTTAATTTATTAATTTATTTTTTTATTTAATTTAAATTCAAATTGTTTACTTTTCAACCCAACCTAACTTTTCTTCTTCTACTTGTTCATTGCAAAACATTTGGTAATCACTTTAAATGATTAACAAATCATTTGACGGCGTTCAATGCAAAAATCACGACTCTATACTCCCACTTGTCAACATAACGTGTGTGAGAGAGTTTGCCGAGTGAGTGAAAGAGAATAGGAATGAGTCTAATTGGATAAAATACTGCATTTATTAATGAAAAATATATAAATTAAATGTAAATTAGAATAATTTATGAAATTTAATAAATTAAAATAAATAATACGGTTAAAAAGAAGTGTTTTCGTATTAAATAGTATAATAGTATGCAATAAATAACAAAACAAAGCTGGTGTTTACAATTGCAAAAGAAAGCAGCAGCAGCATATGTTTAGCAGCCTACTTTACATACCAACAGACATACCTATGTATCTTTGAATGAGAGTTGAGCTGCCTGCCTAGCCAACTTGCCGTATCTGTGTGTAGTGTATTTTTTTTTTGCCTGCTTGCTAGAAAATCCAACTAAAAAATCATAAAACAAACAATAAAGAGAAAAAAGTAAATTAGTACACACTTGTTTGTTGGAGATTAATAACCATTGAGTGAGCGGCGAGTGAGTTAACGTCGGATAGTTTTGCATTGACGTGTTTCTTGTTTTTTGAACGTCTGATAAAAAAATATTTCTTTCTTTTTGTTAAGTTAGTATCGTTCTTTAGCCCAAAGAATTTCGTGTTTTTGTAATTCTTCTCATCCGGTGGTGGTGGCCGTACGTGTACATTTCTTAATATATAAAAAAATTATTAAAACAATAACAACAACACCAACCATTTTGAACTAGAATAAATATTATCAATAAGAATGAGTGAAACACCCCAAACCAGCAGCACCAAGAAACGTCAAAAGACGGTAAGTTATTCATGTTTGTTTTTGCTTGATCTATGTACTAAAGGAATTCTAATTGGGTTATCAAATAATTGTATTAGAAAAAAAAAAACAGAACAGAAGAATGAAGAAACAGCTGTTGACCTATATACATGCACATATACATACATATCAAAAGAAATTTACGGTATTTGTCTCTGGGAAACAACAAAACTAGTTGTTGGAGCGTTGAGTTATTGGCTATTGACATGTGTCAAATGTTTATGTTTACATTGTTCCGTGTCATTTCTCTGATGAGATGATGTTAATGTGACGTGTATGTTTTTTTTTTTGTATAAACAAATTGATCAAGGAACAGCATGCACATAACGGCAACAGGAAATGAGGAAATTATGAAGAGATAGAGAGAGAAATCACATGAGAGTTGTACATCTCCATATGCCATATAAATCAGTTGATTGAAATGTCATCTTTATCATTTGGCAAATGCGTCAATTTGATGCTTGGGTGTCAAATGTTTATGTTTACATTTTTCCTCTCATTTCTGA